AGGCACTGCATTTTCCACCGCTGTAGCTGATGACCGCAGGCAGCGCTAACCTTGATCTGTCGGGATTATAGACCAGGTGACTAAACATTAGTCCTTAAGCAGAATCCTTCATGGATCAGCCAATGGCCACAAAATCCCAGAGGCTATTTATAGTGAGCAAAGAGTGCAAAGCATGAACATTTTTATTTTTTTTATTTTATTTGATCACAAACAGAAAGAATAAGGAGGAATGGCCTGGTGGAACAAGAACTAGAAGAGGATAACTTCCTGAAGGAGTACTGAGGTTACATATGGCCTTTCTGGAAACAGAACAGCTAAACTGCTGCCTAAATGAGTCATTAGGAGCATGTGATTGTGTGTGAAAGCCAAATAATGGTGTGCGTCTAAATAAACCTCACACCTACACAATTACTGGCAACGTCTGAAGAAAAAACACCCCTTGCGCTTCTGGCAACTGTCTTATATTACATTTTGCTGTTAAATTGTTAAATTGAATGACGAAAACCAATAGGGAACCTAATAAAAAGTTTTAGAGACTCCATTCAAGAGCTGTGTATGGTTTGAGTGATCACTTGCTATCCGTTTTAAAGTGTAACTACCCCCCTTTAATATCTTATTTGCTGAGACAGCGTGCATTGATTGGCTTCCTTTTTTCTCTTAACTTTGTCTTATCCTCTTAGGTCACTGTGTCAGTTGGATTTAGCAGCATGCGGGAGATTTTGTGGATAAATTCCTTGGCTGTATTTACTTTTAGTGCATCTACATCATAGAAGCACAACAATACCCTGCTATCCAAACTGAACAACTGCGCTATTTTTTTCCCAAACATACAGGATATTCAGAGATGAGGAAATGGGTGATTTAGAGAATAATCACATCATTCTGTTCTCTGCAGGGAGAAAGGCATAACCATTTAAGGACTTGGCAAATATATGAGCTTGAGAGTGAAGTGTTCATTGCATTCTGCTATAATACATTATGCATGACTACAATGAGTTTATGATGGCCGCCAATGAGAAACAAGCTGTATTTTTCCTACTGACATCTCACTCCTACACCTCTGTACCCTGCATATATGTTATGGCTTACGTCTAAACATTCCTAAATGTTCAGATGTTATCTTTTCTAGGAAATATGGCCTGGAGAAAAGTGTACAAGCAAAAAGAGGCCAGGCAGAAAGAGGAAGAGCACAGAGTTATCTTCTGCTTCCTTCATTACTGGAGGCGACTCCGTAGGAACACGCCTCATAGGGCTAATGCTTCTCGCTCATACTGTATGTAGGCACAGCATGGGGCCTGCACACATAATCTCTCAGCCAATTAGGGCAACCTGCCATTCACATGATCAGAGACAGTAATGAGCGGGGGGATAAGAAGGGTTGGAGTTCATCTGTTTGAAGCATCTAAGATATATAGCTGCCCCTTAAAATATCATACAACTGCATGCAGAAGTGGAATGGATTTCCATTTACTGGTAAAAATCAATCTTCAAAATCAAATTTTGGCATTATGATCATTATACATTATAATCGATAGTGTGAAAAATGAATTCATATTGAGATTTGTGTTTATTTATAGGTGTTTCTACACCTTTGACTGCAAATCCCTGTGGCACTGCCTGGAATTCCAGTAGTTTCTGCGAATTGGAGCAATCCATTTACAAAAAAACATTTGAGAATGTTTTTTGTGTTGGCTGCCTTCAAACTTAACACCAACGCTTTAACTCAGTTTTTGCCAATTGCAGTGACTCCCATTTACTGTGAAGCATCAACATATTATATATAAATAATAAAACAAACAAGTAAAACATAAGTATAAATCATGTCATATCATTCAGCGTCACTGAAGCGGATTGACAACAGAACCAGAAGTCCTGAATAAAGTCGTAGTTTTTGTTATTTTTGAACCGAATTGTATTTTTGATGCTTCAAAACATTCTAACTAGCCCACTGATGTCACATGGACTACTTTAAAGATGTCTTTATTTCCTTTCTGGGGAACAAGGACAGTGTACGTGTATAAGTTTTCAATGGAGGGACAGAAAGCGGACTAAATTTAAGATATCTTAAACTGTGTTCCGAAGACGAACAGAGGTCTTACGGGCTTGGAACGACATGAGGGTCATTAATGAAATAATTTTCAATTTTGGGTGAACTACCCCTTTAAACAAAGTAGGTGCATTCGACAGATCCTACAAGTATTTTAGAGTACTTAGCGAACCGTGAACAATACATGCATTTATACACATTATTATCAATTACCACAGATATGTAAAACATCTGGGTAAGTGCCATTTTTTTTATTCTGATAAAAATAGAAAATATGCAAATCACTACTTATAACAACCATACAATGAAAGATAAACGACCTACGCAAACAGTTTCACATTAAAATTCCCCACAAAAACCACCTAGAAATGATGGGTTTGAATGCTGATCCTGAACCAAAAGTTTTGAATCCCTCTGAAAAGTGACCCGAGGGCAAGGCAAAGCCTGCATTCCTCTTATCAGCTGGACTCTGGCCAGTCTGTGGCTGTTACGCAGTTCTTTCTCTCTCCCTGTGTTTTTTCTGCCTCCCTCTGCATATAAACAGTTAGAAAGTAACATTGAGCCTTTATCGAGTACTGAATGTACCAACAGAATGTGATGCAAAGCTAAGAATATCAGTATTAGTAGAGGGTCATAGGTATGAGATAATCAATGAGTTCTTATGACTGCATAGTGCATACAGCATAAAGCGTTCCCAACCTGCCTCCTCACCAGCCTAATCCATGTTTCGTTATCTATATTCAGGGCTTCACGTAACAGCACAAACATCTACTATATAGCTGGAAAGTAATAAATCAATTGAAGATGAGCACAATCCTCTGTTGCTATAAACCTGTATGGAGCTAAACAAAGATTCTAAAAGGGGAATAGACCATGAAATCCCCTAGCTAATGTTTAACCTGTGAAGTAACCTGAGGCTTTGTTTAACTGTGACAAAGGTAGTTATGCACACTTCACACTCTCCTAAATATGAAACCGGTCTCATTCGGCCCATATAAAGCCAAGGGCTACAACATCAAAGAAAACTAAATGAAACTAGTGCTATATCTCACCCTGGGCGTGGTCTTGCAAAGTGAACTCGGCGTTTGGCTGCACAAAGAATTCGTTTACAGATACAATAGAAAAGGTGATACTCTGAAACGATAGTCTATTAACAATTATGTAGCAGAAGAAAAAGCTCCAGCAAGCCTTTATCTACTTTTGTAACACCCATGTGGTTATCTAGAGGTAATGAAACCATTGCGAAATTATCATGCGAAAGTAAATTATTTAAAGAGACAGTTCAACTAGAAACTACATTTTGGTCATCATTTACTCACCCTCATGTTATTCCAAACCTGTAAGACTTTCTTTCTTCCGCAGGACAGGACACACAAGATTCTATTTTGAAAAGATTTCAGTCGTTATTGTCCACGGAGTTCAATGTTGGTTTGGACAAAGTGACTTTAATTGTGTGGACAAAAATAAATAAATATTGAGACACTTTTCAAAATATCTTCTTTTGTTTTCCATAGAAGAAAGTCATACAGGTTTGGAATGACATGAGGGTGAGTAAATGACAATTTTCATTTTTGGCTGTAGTATCCGAATCAATGTGCTTATTGTTAACTAAAACTAAAAACTGAAAAATAAAGCTATATAAAAGGCCATAACAAATTTACAAAACAATTAAAAAAAATGTTTAAAGCTAATTCAAAATATAAATAAATACTATAATAGTATATAAATAATAATAAACAAATGTAAAAAAGAATCTGTGAAAATAAAATATCACATTCTGATAAATTAAATTCATGTGTACGAAAAATGCTACACAAGCCAACTCATCTAGATGCAAGAGGCTCCTCACACAGATTTGGGCGGTCTGGTTTGGCTAATTTACAACAATGGTAGCTTTGTTTGATAGCAGAATCGGGGAGAGGAACCCATCACTTCCTCAGTGCACTAGTTTCTCAACTAGCCCCCTTTCTCACATCGCTGAGGCCTGTGTGAAACCGACTCTGCAGTCACAGCTTCAGACTGACCACCCCACCACAGAGCGCACAGGGGACGTATTCCTAGAGCGACTCTCACGAAGATTCGGCTTCCTGTAGCTGCCTCTAGTTCCCAACATTCAGCTCAGAGGAGTTTCTTTTGTTTCCTTCAGTGAAATTAGCCTGACATGAAAAGCCCTGTGCCAACCCTGTATGCAGCAGACAGCATTTACAAAAGCTCTGACAATAGTTGCAAGTCGAACGTGGGGAAAATTCTAAAACTGCCTTCATTCAGTAACCATAAAGGAAGAGAGCAGTCTCACTAGAATCCGGCCAAGGTGGCAACAGAATTGTGTCATTCTGGGCAGTCTAGACAGCACGGCATGCCTTTTGGTTAGAGATGCAATTAAACCTGACCATGACCTATAAGGGACTTTCTCAACCCATGGTTCAAAGTCCTACATATATCTGTGCGAAAGCAGGTGGAATAAATTATACAGACTTGGGTGGGGCTGAGGTTATGGTCCTTTCTTAGATGTGTGAAAGAGTTTCAGCCAAAACATTTGCTGCAGAACGGAGTAAACAGAGAGTGACAAAAGTAGCATAAACATTCAGTTAAGATTTAACTGGACAGAAATACGAGTAAAGACCTTATTAAAAACATACTAAATTAATAAATGTTGAACTTTCATTTTAAAATAATAGGCTACCTAAAACTAAACCAGAGGAAAAATTGTCACAATGTTTCTTCTAGGTCATTTATGGTAAATTCATTGGACAAATGGTTGGATGGACAGACAATTAATTTTAGATAGATAGATAGATAGATAGATAGATAGATAGATAGATAGATAGATAGATAGATAGATAGATAGATAGATAGATAGATAGATAGATAGATAGATAGATAGATAGATATGACATGAACATGTCGTACATCTACTGCAACAGCACTGCAGGTGACAGTTAGAGTAACTTACTCTTTGAACATCTTCTCCATGTCTTTGATCTGCTTCCTCGAGAACTCCTTGAACTCTGTGTAGGGGTTGAAGACCTTCATGCTGGGCTGCTGATGTCCACCGACGCCCTCGTTCAGCTCCCCGCGCCGCTGCAGTTTGGCTCCCAGCTCTGAATCCGCGCTGGCCGTAGCCGGTTTCTCGTGAGCTCCATTCTCATGAGAACAGTCCAAAGCCACCGCGTCGTGGTCGCCATCCTCGATCTGCAGCCGACGGTTCAGCTTCGATGACAGCTCGTCCGTTGCCATTTCGTCTTAATCTGAAATCTATATATATATGGGCAAAATACAGTAGGATAAAATGCTGCAAAGCGCGTGGTCCATATAAAGGTTCAGTGGGTTAAATCCAAATTCAGATAAGCGTTTGGTTAAATACGTTTGAAAAATGCAAATCGTTCGACTTATAACTGTATGAAGGGATAACGTTACGCGTCTGTAAACCCACTGATTCAAACGGACAGCGCTCGTGCGTATGATGACGCCAAGTGATCGCTGACGGTGAAATAAGCTCGTGCGTTACGTAGCCTACTATGCAGTAAGATGGACACAAACCCGCTTTTTTACGCCACGCCTTTTAAAGAGACTCACCGGACACGAAAGACCACTTACAACACCCCTATGATACCTTTTGATATTACACAACAATATAATCTCTCCGCGTGCGTTTTTAGTTTCAGTAATTTCAGCACTGAAATTCAGGTTGTTATATGGCGTCATTTATTTCTCATGCGAACCAACTTCTTTTGTCGACCAATTCCAAAGACATTGAGCTGTTAAATTATCATGACATCCATTTTATAACGACCAATACCAACCTGATTTATTGTTTTATTTTTATTTATTTATTTATTTATTTTTGCTAATCTATGTTAACAGGCTCAATAAGGTTACTCCTAGCTCTGTATATTACATTTTACCATGTTTAAATCCATTCCATTATTCATCATATTTTTGAATCAGTTCTGGGAAAAAACAGCAGATAAGAGATGTGAGAAAAGCATTCATGTATAAAAGATAAACATAAAATATTGTTTATTTCAAGCAGGAAATTGTGTTTATGTGGGTGTATGTGCTGAGGTATTAGCCTATCATGCATGTGAGATATAAGCATTAGATCTGAAGGCATCAGCGGAGTGACTAAAGGCTGATTCATGAAACAGGAAGTCACACACACACACTATTTGAGACATCCCCCCTGGTTATAGAGGAGGGGCTGCTACCTGCGTTCTCTCCTAATATGGAGAAAGACAGAATGAAACATAGGATTTCACCACAGAGAAAGGAGTGTTTAGACCATCACACCTCTCTGAGGAGCTAAATGTGATTTGGCATGCTGTAATGCACCACAAAGTGAAAATCTTTCTTGTAGTGAATGGTGAAAACCATGTCTGCATTAAAAGGGCCAGTACTCCATGGTTCCAGATGTCTGCTTTATAAACACTTTTCTCCAAGAGAAGATTCAGATATATTATGATAAGCATAAATCATTGGGGGCTTCGTTTACTACTCGCTGGGAAGGCCCTTTGCCTGAAGGAAATGTGAACTGTAATCCTTTCTGTACTCTTGGGATATATCTGGCCTGGGTCTGACAAAATAAGAAAGGGAGTTGCAGAAACACACACAAATCTCCCCTTGTCTCTTTCTGCCATTCAGCTTATTCGGCCCCTCTTTGTGTTTTTAAGTATCTCTCTTTTTTTTTTTTTTTTTTTTTTTGTCTCTGACCAATGTGTATGAATGAATACAATCCATTCATTCAATCAAATAAGATAAAATAAAATAAGATTGATAAGACCATGAAGTGAAATTACTAGGCAGTAATGCAAATCTCAAATCCTTTAGGTGCCTAAAATCCAAAAACGTAACATTCACTAGGTCATGGTAATATCTGTACTCTAGAGTGTTGACTCATGAAAGTGAAATCATTTTTTGACAATGACCTAGAAAAACAAGGTATCACAATTTAGCCGCTGAGTTGGTGTGTGTGTGTTTATGTATTATACAGATTGCACAGCTCTCAGCTATGTAGCGCTATAGCAGTAATTGAGCATCATGCTAGTGCGAGCTGTTTGAGTCTGGTCTTTGGATGGTTGCCCAATCTCATAACAGTGCATTTTCTTTGTGTGAGAATAGAAACAGGAAGTCATGCAGAAAAAAAGAGGTTAACTTTTGGATAAAAAAGGAAATAGGCAAATATCCAACATAAGTATGGTAAACATTGTTGTAAAATATTAAAGCATTATGTTTGACTAAAGTAGCAGATTATCTCAAATATCTATGCCAGAAAATGTATTTTTAATGTACTAGTACTACCTAAATCATACATACATACCATTTGTCTACATTCCAAAATGTATCAGACTGCAATTCAAAGCACAACGTAAAGAAATGTTGCATTCTTAACATTGCCACACAGGGCACTATCTGTCTGTCAACAAAGATTTTAAAAGAATGGTTGGGGGGGGAGCATTAAGAATCATTTTCACACATGAACTTGAACCTCTGAGTCCAGACCTCAAATTCACTGAAAGTATTTGGGATGTGCTGGAGGAGACTTTACAGAGTGCCTGACTCTTGCATTGTCAGTACAAGATCTTGAACAAAACAATGATGTACCTCTTGATGGAAATAACATCACAACATTTATTTCTTTACTCTGTAAAGTCTACTCCAGCACATCCCAAAGACTTTCAATGAATTGAAGGTTTGGACTCAGAGGTGGCAGTTCATGTGTGAAAATGATTCCCTCCCAATTCTTTCACAATTTGAGCCTGACTAACATTGAAATATGGCCATTTCCTACACGATTGTTTAAGAAATAAAACCAACACAATCCATCAATAGGTTTAGAAGAACTGTTGCCAAACTTATAACATGCTAGAAACATTATAATCACTGCAAAATTGCCCGCACAGTGTATATCTAAGTGAAGCAGCTTCTCGAAATGAGAAAAAAATGTAGGGAAGGATCGTTGTTCTTTGCTAATTGCTGTGATGTAATGTGAGTGAAATGTATTTGCTAACAAAATTAGGATGCTAACAATTTTGCTATATGTATATATTTGCAGTTTTATAAACAAAAAAAAATTAAACCACTATAACTGACAAATTAGCAGTAAATTAGGTGAAATGACTTGACGTCTTTGACTTGATCGCAGGCCTGATTCAGTGTGCACTTATAGCAATAGGTGGTCATAGTGAAGCTGTGTTTGTGTCCGCGAGCTTCAGTGAGCTGGGAGCTCTCCTAGCATTTGAGACAGACTGTCTAACTCAAGACAATTTACAGTTCGCTGCTCTTTTTATTCTATAGCTCTTTCTTCAAAGTCTGCAGCTCACGCTTACTCCTTCAACGTCTCCTGCCAGGTCTTTGTTTGCCTCACTAAGGCCATTATAAGCACACACAGACACACCCACGCAGAAGGCAATAGGAAATTCAGATTTGGAGTCTGTAATAAAACAACTTCAAGGGAACATGAACAGGGATTTAGGCTCTATTTACAGCAGTGAGTCTTAAAACACATTAGGCTAAATAATGAATTAGCTAGTGCTGGTGCAGCTGGAGTTGTAAGACCTATTAATGACCCAGTGTGATGTTTGGCTATAAAACTCCCTGCAGTCGAGCCTGTGGTGGATGACTTTAGTTCAGCGCCTGAACTAATGCCATCCACCACAGGCTCGACTGCAGGGAGGCTCTATACATTTATCCTGGAATCAAACGCATACACGCACATAAACACAAACCGGATAATGACAGTACTAGTCCCAAAGGAGAATACACTGACAGGTCTGTGAGTATAGTACAATGAGATCAGCTGTTATATGAATTATTAAGACCAGTGAGACTATTGATGCCATCTAAGTGAGAAAAGGAGCAGCTTTCTGATGACATTTAGAAACAATAGACAGGTCTCAACAGATCTGGTCTGACAGCTGTCTATGTGAGTTTCAAAACACCAGTAGGCAACTACAACAAAACAATATAACTAAACAAAGAGAAAGTTGTATATCTACAGTTTTTGGCTTAACTTAACCCTTTGACATCATTTAATCCAAAAGCAAATTACTGCGCTTTCAATCTAAACTCAGTTTTGATTGGTCAATCGCACCAACCATAGCAACGCTATCAGTCCACTCATCTAAATAAAACTGATGCATACAAACACAACTGGCGCCATCAGTTAAATATAATAAAAATATCAAAATAAAGGGATTTTTGGAATCTCTCACTCCAGATAATGATCGTAGTCCAGCTGAGCTGCAGCAATGGTAAGTTTTTAGTCAATTTGTTTGTTGAATTATAATCACAAGAATGACATGGCCATTTTCTTCCACATCTTGAACCAAAATACACCTCATCAAAACTCAATGACACTATAAGTTTTGAGACTAGTCAAGGCTGCTGGCTGGACCATGACCACATCTGTTCAGTGTGAACTAAGGCAAAGAGAAAGAATGGGCAGTCAATAAACATGCTCAGCCAAATGCAAGGGCGATATCAACCAAAGACACGTATTTTGTCCCACCCTTAATCAGCCATGTCAGCCATGAATTCCCTGAAATGTATAAGCAAGGAAAATAGTACGAGAGAATCTTAACCTTAGACACAAATGCACTGAGACATAATTTGGCAGAAATGATGTAGTCTCATGATGTGCCTTGATAGTTTATCCTTGTTAATCTATTGGTGTGCTAGCTAGAAGACCTAGACATGGTGTAAATCATTTTAAAATGCATTATGTGTCTTGATCCCTCTGGCTTTTCTGAGCTAAATTAAATAAGAACATTAAAGAAAGATAAATGAACAAACAGAAAGGCACTACAATGTAGTTACACAGTCTCTCTCTCTCTCTCTCTCTCTCTCTCTCTCTCTCTCTCTCTCTCTCTCTCTCTCTTTCTCTCTCTCTCTCTCTCTCTCTCTCTCTCTCTCTCTCTCTCTCTCTCTCTCTCTCTCTCTCTCTCTCTCTCTCTCTCTCTCTCTCTCTCGCTGTGTGTGTGTGTGTGTGTGTGTGTGTGTGGTTGTCAAGCTCCCTGCCAATCCTTCTCTACACGACATCACTATCCAGCTAGATTCTTCCTCAATCACCCCATCAAGGTCGGTCAGAAATCTTGGAGTAATCTCTGATGATCAGTTGACCTTCACAGACCACATTACAAAGACAGCTTGATCATGCAGGTTTGCTATGCACAACATTAGGAAGATCAGGCCTTTCCTAACTGAGCATGCAACATAACTTCTCATCCAAGCCCTGGTCATTTCTAGGCTTAATTACTGCAATTACTTAATTACAGCTCTTCTGGCTGGACTTCCATCATGTGCAACTAAACCTCTACAAATAATCATCCAGAACGCTGAAGCTCATCTTGTCTTCAACGAGCCCAAACGGGCCCACGTCCATCTCTCTGCACTGGCTACCACTCGGTGCTTGCATCAAGTTCAAAGTGTTGACACTTGCTTAGAGATTGACCACAGGCTCAGCCCTCCTACTTCCACTCACTACTACAAGTCTACATCCCTACCAGAAGCCTACGATCGGTCAATGAGTGACGGCTCGTGGTACCATCACAGAGAGCCTCAAAATCACTCTCCAGAACATTCTCATTCACAGTACCATGCTGGTGGAATGATCTGCCCTCATCCAGAATGCAGAATCCCTAACTCGCCTCTTCCGTGAGCACTTAACATAAAAAAAATAATAATAATAATTTTCCTTTAAATCCTTGCATGTCTGGTTATGCTACTCCGAGCAATGTCTGAACTTCTTGTGTTGTTTTTGCCTCTTCACAATGTCAGTTGTAAGTCGTTTTGGATAAATGTGTGTGTGTGTGTGTTTACATTCACACCTAATAACAGTGGTGTAGGCCCTATTAAAGCTTTAAAAACTGGTCATAATTTCATTCTCCCCACTGAAACCTGCAGGCCCGTAAAAAAATGTAGTTGATGTAAATTGAAAAAAAAAATAATTTTTTTAAAACTGTTTCCAGAAAGAGAAATGCCCTGAAAACCCTCTCAGATGGCTTAAATAATAGCGTGATTTTATCTATTGCATTGTATCTCTCTCAGTCAAGGCCCGAGGACAGAGCTAATTGAAAAAAAATCCAGTGTACCTGGAACCTGGCAGTTTAGCCTGGATTTTTTCATGACAATTCTAAGCATTTACTGGTTGTTTAGGTGGACTAGTCAGAATTTGGAGTGATTTTCTTGACTTTGCATATAACTGGCAGTTCCCACATACAGATCTGTTAGAGGTTTGACGTAAATCTAAGTAAAGTCTGACTCTTTTTGTGTGCTTTCTTTGAATAAGGGGTGCCTCAAAGCTATTTCACTGAGCTGTTAACTGATTCCTTCTGTTTTTGGTGGGGTGTAGTGACCCCTATAGGTATATCATGCTCATTACACCATACTCTCAAGCTACAAAGCAGATAACTAAATTAAAAAGGTAGCCTACATTGGTTTGGGAGCACGATCATCCCCTCAACCTCACCAACCACTGGCATTTTAGTTCAATTTCCATACAGACTAAAGACTTTTGTAATGAAATCGTGTGTGCCATTCAGCTGGAAGCAAACAAACTAGCCTACAAAATTTTGCTCGTTTGTGATTAAACTAAGAGAGATAGCCTAATACTGTGTGTAACGCATATGTGTAACGTGTGTAATTTTATCAATGCTTAGCAATGTAAACCAACCAGTTTTTCCAGAAGATTTTCAGTTGTAATAGCCCTGTTCAGCCAGCAGATGACAGTCTTTGTTCATTCAATGAACTGACCTTGCTTTCTTACCGTAAACCCTGGATGAAACTGAAACCCATAGAGTCAGACTTGGTGAGTTCAACTTGAATTGTTTTTTAAATCGATAACACACTGAACCTACTCCACATCATTTATTTAACTTTACTCACACAATGATATATTTTTTTTTTTTTTTGGCTCGTTCAAGTAATGAAAGCTGGTCTCACAGAACACGTTTTACATTTAAAAACTGAATGTTGACTGCCATGGCATTGGTGAAATATGCTTTCTACACTTGCTACAACTTGTTTTTGGGCATGTTTGGGCATCTTAGGACATCTACAATTTTTACACATCATCTTCTCCTTCCTTGTATTTCATGCATTTTCTTTCTTTCTTGAGTTTTTCTCACAGGAGGTCATTTTGCATTCTGTCAGTCATATGTCTCACTGATATTTCACTCTGGATGATTCCCTCCAGAATCCGTACAGTTCTTTGCGGGCTTATTTGCTGAAAATGTGGCTCTGCTTCTGCATAGATATGACATGTCCCATAACTCTCTGCCTGGCCGCTGGAAAAGGGTGTGGAGATGGTGGCATCCTTGCATTGTTGAGAGCTCTGGGCCTTTATTTCTGGTGTAGGGCTGGCCTTACTATGGCTCACACACATCCTGTGGCGAATGTTTTGGGTATCCTGACTCAGGATTTTGCGAAAATTGGGTTTGAAGAGAAGATAAACCATAGGGTTGTAAATGGTGGAGGATTTGGCCAGGATAGCTGCCAGCGCAAAGGCGGTGGGTGGGACTGGCTCATTGGCACTGAACGCAGCCCACATGGCAACAACCGCATATGGGCTCCAAGCCGTAACGAAGCCAATACACACAGCCACTGAGAGCTAGAAGGAAAGACACACATTCACTTAGTTCACATGCAATTAAATAGAATGATTTGTTTTTAAATATTTTAAGATCATATTTTGATCTCTGTAACCCATATTTTCTCTCACACACTACTTCAGGAAGAATGTAGCCTATTACGTTGATCAAAAGTGACAGTAAAAACATCTATAATGTTACAAAAGGATTATATTTCAAATAAATGCTGTTTTTTACTTTCTATTCGTCAAAGAATGCTAATAAATGTTTTTTATAAAACATTGATTATAATGAAAAATGAGAATGATTTCTGAAGGACCATGTCACACTGAAAACTGGAGCAATGATGCTGAAAATTCAGCTTTGACCACAGAAATACATTACTTTAAAATATATTAAAATAATAATAATTCAAATTCAAATTGTAATAATATTTTTAATAATACACTATTACAGTTTTTACTGTATTTTCGATCAAATAAATGCAGGCTTTGTGAGAACTTCCTTCAAAAACATAAAAAAAAATCTTACCCTAAACTTAAAAAGTAGTGTACATGCAATATGAACAGAACAGACAGTTATATTTCTTTGTTAATCAGCATTCTGCTTATATTATGTATTCCTGTTTATGACCAATATGGCTAAATGTGTGCAAATGTAAATGTGGCGAGAAGGACGAGGTCGAGTGACGTGAGAGCGACACGAGAATAATGAACGACACCTGTGAGACGCACCGGTCTTGCATCTCTCACAGAGGACGACATTGAAGATTGAGACTAGAGGAACAGGTCTGATTTTATGCTGTTTTTTGTTTCTGTTTTGTGTGGCCAGCAGTCGTCCGTGAGGGGCTTACACTTTCATTTTTTTATTTTTTTATTTATTTATTAAAATCGCTGAACATTCGTCGGTTCCCGCCTCCTTCATCCCATAACATCTGAACCTGTTACATTACCCATGTTTTGAGAGAGGATTTCTCAGCCTCAGTATTCAACATTTAGCATCAGGATAATTACCAGGGCTTCAAGCATGACATCGTTTCGAAATTAGGCCGGGCCTGGGACAGCCAAAGGTACAGCCAGTCCTTGTCCAGAGGACAGAGGATTGTTAATCAGCATTACTTTTTGAGGGACATTAAGTACATACTTAGCAATAGTATCACGTTCCTGCTGTCTGCTCTACTGGGCAATAAAATACGATATATTTGCACAGTGAGACAGTGTGGACACCACACATGTTTTTGTGCAATTTTATTTAGTCACACCTTTTTTTTTTTTGTTACATGAAGGTCACATAGACATTAATAATAAAAAACGACAACAAACAAACCCATCAAATTCCATTAACCCTCTTTACCTTGACAATAAGAGTGTGTGCGTTGGTTTCTTTGGTTTTTGGCGATACATGCTTTTGAACGGCTTGGCGAGACCCCCTCACTCTGAGCAGGATGAAGGTGTAAGATAGGATGATGATGGTACAGGGGACAACGTAACAAAATATAAAAAGACTGATGATGTAAGACATAGCAAGGGCATCATGGGATGGAATGTACCTTGGAACATACAACATGGAAAAGGTATCATTATAAAATCAGTTTGCGTTAGTTGCATATTAATGCTAAAATATTTGGTCTCATACCAGTTTATGCAGCAGGCGGTTCCGTATGGTTCTGGTGCAAAACTTCCCCAGCGGATCAAAGGTCCCACAGCAAACACAGACGCATAGCACCAAACCCCAATAACCATCACACAAGCATGATTGGATGAGAACTTGTTACCTGGGGAAGACATGCAGAGGACTGCATGAATAAATATTTTTTACAAAAAACAGGTGTGATTGGTCAAGGTGACTAATTGGTCAGGCTGTATGAATTTCCTTCATGACACAGGGTTGAACAGTAGGAATAATTTTAATTCCATATCCCACAGTAAAAGAAGGAAAAACTGACCCAGTGTTTCAAGCTCCAGCAATCCCTAAATGTGCTCATTAACTGTACTTCGCTTCATTTGTTTTTATCACTTTGTCTCTCCTTTTGTCTCATTTCCCCTACATGTTCTCTTTTGTTCCACATGTCCTTTCTTATCCACTTTTTTATCTTTCTCATTTCATCTTCATCTTTATATGTCTCTTTCCATTTGTTTTAAACTCAACCTGCATATTTAAGCCAGAGGACCTTTTCATTTCACAGTGAACCGAATGTGACAGTTTTCAGAAACTTAAGACAGAACACAGCGCTAACAGTCCAAAACACTCAGACCTGATTCTGCTGTGTGAGATTAGACTTGATCCCAAAAACACACCAGCAGAAAAGAGAAGATCCAGCATTGTTGGTCACCAGTATGAGGTCTGTTTTGCATGCTGGTTTTCTAGTCGTCAGCATGGGAAGCAGGAGTGCTGGTGGACCCAATCCACCAGCTCTAGAACAGCACTATACCAGCTCTAACCAGCATAAACCAGCCAGGACCAACATGAAATATATGCTGGATCTTTCAGCAGGGACTTCACATTTTAGGAGGACAATGCCATTTTGGACTGTGTTTATTGTTAAAGGATTAGTTTACCCCAAAATGAAAATTCTCACCCTCATGTTATTCCAACCCCTTAAGACTTTCGTTCATCTTCGAAACACAAATTAAGATATTTTTGATTAAATCTGAGAGCTGAATCACTCCTCCATATAGGCTTCTAAGGGTTTGAAACTTGCCGGCCCAGAAAAGTTATTAAAGACATCTTTAAAATAGTCCAAGTGACTACAGTGGCTCAATCTTAACAGAGAAGGAAATGACTGGTTGAATGAAGTTGTTATTTTTGTTTGTTTTTTTAACACAAATTCTCGTTGCTTGATAAACTTAAGATTGAGCCACTGTAGTACAATACATACAGTAAGTTTACGAAATAAAACATCTGTTATTACAGACTTTTAGCTCAGTGGAAAACTTTTTCAAGAATGTCTTAAGTTTTGTTTATGTTTTTGTCTTCACAGTTCACACATCTGTAAACATTTGAATATTTCATATTTAAAGTATTGCTTGGGTAAACAATAGCACTTCATAATAGTCTAAATGTACAAATTAATTTAGTAAAAGGAAACAAAAGAGCAGCATACCGTAATTTGGGCAGCAGACTTTGAGGCAGCATACTGATGACAAAGCAGTCAGGTTTGTTAGGCTGCACAAGCCAAATAAAACCCCGCACACAGCATAGCACAGACATACCACCTCCCCAAACAACCATCTAGTGTGAAAAGAAAGAGAGAATTTTACTGTTTTTGCTCAACTCTGAAATAACTTTTATCTTTATTTGTACTTCAGAGTTATGATTACTTATCTGAAAAGTACATCAAACTGTTTTAGGCATTTGCAAAAAAAAAAAAAAAGAAGTGAGAAATGAGAAAGCAGTGAAGCTTTGTACGGAGCCCAAAGTGACGTGGTGGTGGAAAAAAAATTAGGATGGGAGAATTTTTTTCCCCAAATCTTTTACGTTCCCGCGCAAAACATTTGCGCTCCCTCTCAAAACTTCTGCATTCCCTCGCAAAGATATTTGTGTTCCCACACAAAAGTTTTGCGTTCCCTCGCAAAGATATTTGCGTCCCCACGCAAAATCTGTTGACAGTTCGGACAGACACGTCCTGTTTAATGTTATATCTTTGCGAGGGAACGCAAAAAAAATTCTCCCATCCTACTTTTTTTTTCTATGTCCCTTTTTTCTATGTTTCTATGTAACTAGCAGGGCTCCGTAGCTTTGAAATCAAGAAAGTAGCAAGCTCCAAGCTAAGATTAGCACACTACATTAACATTAATTAAGGTAACAATATCTTTTGTATAACTATTTTTTTAACCTTTACCTGGCACCAAAAACACAAAAAAATATCATAAAAAATATCTTACCAACACCATTATAAAACACACGAAAAGTGTCAAATAGCAGCATTCACTTTATTTCACTTTGAAAAGACGAATGGGTTCAAAAGTTCAAATGAGTCATTGAATCGTTTATTTAACCAGTGCACTTTATGAAATTATTTTACATCTTACATCTTTGATATTTTACAATAAAAAAAAAATTAAAAAAAAACATTTTTGGTAAACCATGAAGCAGGATCTCACCTGTGTGCTAGAGCAGATGGAATGGCCAGAGGAAACAGAGACAAGGTCATCCCTAGATCGCTCACAGACAAGTTTATGACAAAAAACTCTGCTGGCTTCAGAGATGACCTCTTACGGTAGGCTACAAACAACAGCATGCCATTTCCCAGAAGCGACAATACACCTGGTAGAGAAAGAGAGATCTATCCATCTGCTCATGCTATTCATCTTTTCATCAAAGCTACTGAATTAGTAAAGCTGTATTGAAGATGTGCCACTGACAGTGTGACATCTCCATCCCATTCCTGATAAACCTGTCGGATAAAGACACTGTTTGATCCCAAAGCTTAGAAATGCTAAGCAAACCTTGTTGTCTGGTCTGTCTCAGGATGGTCAAGAATAACAATAAGGTCCTTGATTCTTTTAACAGACTGAAGTTAAATCAACCCAGCTTTAATAATCCACGCAATTTATCTGCTACATCGTATGTAAAGTTGTCGCTTCTTAAATGTCAAGCAGACAGACCAGAACTAATCGCCCACATTCACACACATCACATCCATTCAACTGGTATGCCCATATTCACAGACAAGGCTTAAGCCTAAAATGTTTGAGCTGTCTAAACTGAAAGAAACTTGCACTAAAATATCCTACATTTTTTTTTCTAAAGCACGTTAATAAAAGCTAGTCTGAATTGAATTAAGGCCTTATATTAGCTTAAACTAAGCATTGCCTGTGAAACAAAGTCACAAAAGGCCACAAAGTTCTTCCTGACTTATTTTTTAAACAGATTTTTCAAGAAACTGTACTTCATCAGAGATGTAGCTATCACTTCACTACATTCCAAACAATAATTTTTGACTGTATAATTAAATTCATTTCATTAAAACATATCGTTCCTCATTATTTCGAAGTAAATGCTTCAAGACACAAGTGCAAATTATTCTATTATATTCTTTTCAGTGATTTTTTTCAATGAAATACATGACGATTCTGAATAACGGGTTTATTTTGCAATAACGATCGTCAATTACACTACATGGCTGGAAAAGGACAACGCATTCTCACCCCAAGGCATCACCTTTGACCATGCTTCAATATTTGACGTTTTAGGCGCCCTTTAGCGTCACTTACATGACGCGATCCTACGGCGTCATCTAACTGACGCTAAAGGAAAGCGTCAGTTAGAGGACGCGGTTAGGTTTAGGTGTGGGGTGGGGGTAGGGTACACGCGATCCTAGGGCGTCATCTAACTGACGCTAAAGGGCGCCTAAAGCGTCAGATATTGAAGCATGTCCAAATGCTTCCCAAGGCGTCAGTTAAGTGACGCCTTGGGGGTGAGAATGGGCTGAAAAGGAATAAATACATAAAATATTCATTTAATATTATTAATGTTATCAATTGAATATGATATTAAATTAATTAATTATTAATTTAATTTAAATTAATTTATTAATTTTAAATAGAGTTTATTATGTGAGCAGACCGATTGTGTACAAGGGTACAAGAGACACAAAACTATAGAACATTAGGAAGCCGGGGACTATCATAATAGGCTTAAATATATTTCATTGCAGAATGCCATAATAACATTTATAAACGTAACCTGATATGCTTATGTCTCATTTTGATTTTTCAATTGCTTCATTGCTTCATAAATTAATGATAAATAAAGACAATCAAGTGTGAGCCACCCCAATCATTTCCCCCAAACTAATTATAGACCCTATCTCAGGAAAGCATTAAAAATATATTTGATCATCCTCAGGACAATTTGGCCTAGGTGGACACAGGCAAGGTAAGCGACACAAGAAGGTTAATGACAGCTGAATCATTTCAATTATTCATAAGAAATAAAGATATGCAAAGTCATTGAGGCATTATTTGATGTTCTACTCTGATTAAACTACATATGAAGATGTAGAGGATGCCAAAACATAATGGTGGTTGTGGACTCACAGAACACTGAATAAAGTGATCCCATGAGGATGTCGTGCTGTCTGGAGATTGTGGATACGAACAGGGCTGTTTCTGACACATTACCCATCTGTGGGGAAGAAAGAAAGAGAGCTGAAGCATGTGTCAGATTCAGTTCCAAACAGAACTTCAAATGCATCTCTCGTTTGTCAACATTTCAGTTTATCTGGTAGGCTAATTCACAGCCTCCTTTCGACCATTTATGTTCTTAAATAGTGTGTGAACAATTAAAATGAATATCCAATATCAAACCATCCGCATTAACAGAAATCCTTAATAACATACAGCAAAAGTGAAATAAAATGACAGTTTTCCTGTTTGGACAATACAATACAAAGATATTTACATTAAAAAAAAAAAACATTTATCACCAAACCGTCAAATATTCTTTAGCAGCAAACTTTCAGGAACATTAAATAAAATCTCTTCATTCTGTTCCAGCTTCACCCATAACAATCACCATTGAAACTTGCCACAGAATAACGTGACCCCAGTTTGGTGAAAAATTATTTTAGGCGGCTCTTCACCATGTCAACTCAATCACAAACCAGTTTTAGGTAAGTTACTCTAAAAAAGTAATTAATTACTAGTCATCAATAATTAATCTTCAACAGTGTAATTAGATAAAAAGTTTTGCATCATTTATTACTAATTACTTTCTAAATCCCATATCGAACTCGACCAGTTGAACAAGGATAGACATGAAACTGCACTTTTAATTATTTCATATAAATATATTATAAAATTGCATAAATATTTTTTGAACTGACCAAAGTATTCAAAGGGAGACGGTTACATTAAAAGCATGAATAGATCCTTACTCAAGGGAAAAGTAAATGAATTGTAGTAATTAATTACTTAGTAATGCAGTACAACCAACACTGGACAGAACTTACCTTTCATGAGCGAGTTTGTGCTTGAATACCCACATGGAGTCCAGGTAGAATCCAAACTATAGCAAAACTCACAAATAGAATGATGGACAGTTCATTACTGAGAGATATGGAAGACATAAAAGATGTGCGTCCCCAAATTCGGAGAGCTTGAGGTCTGGTGCTCTGCGCTGGAGGATCAGCAGGCGAATGGCAGTCAGTGTGCTTTGACAGTGAGCAAGACACAGTACTGAGGTCTGATGTCACTTAGAAAGCACACTCTCTGCTATACCGGCCCTTTTGTTTTTGCTCTTTCCCCTCCCCCTTCTCACACAAAAGGTTTTTGACCCTCTTCTGCATTCCCATTTTATGATTAGCCTCTCTCTCTAAATCTTTATCTTTCTAAATATCTCACTCTATTTCTTTACTTCATTGAAACAAACATTTTCCTCACACTTACCCCTCTCATTTGTCTGATTGTTTGGAAATTGTATTTTATAATTTTTGGAAATTGATTTTAGGTTCCATACTGTAAAAAATGGTGTGTAATGTCATTTTTATCCAGTCATCCACTAATTTGGCTATTTTGTTTTTTTCTTTCTGTTGCTTTTCATATTAGAACATTCGTGATGAATATATATTTTTTTTTTTCTGGCCTAAGGCTTTTTAGAATTATTCTGCATCAACCTGCTGCTGAACACCAAGATTTTTCCATTTCTGTGAAAAATACACAACCATCTGCTGCCATGTCATTTGTTAACTCAAAGCCAGGCAGCATAATTGTCAAACTTTTCTTGATAATTGTGTCAATGCTCCACTCCTTTCATTTTTCATTTCATCTCCTCTTTTTGGGTGTGCATTTTTCATAACTTTTTGGTGTCCTCATGAGCAAGGTATCTTCTCTTAATGAGAACTACCTTGTATCTTTAAAGGGATAGTTCACTTTGAAATTCCTTTTTGATATGTTTTAGCTTACCTCAAGGGCATCCAAGATTTGTTTCCGCAGTATTTTCAATTTTGATATTTTTAGATCAAACCATTGTTGTCAATCAGTCATATGGAGATTTATGGAGCCCACCTCAAAGAGCATGCACAGAGAAGTCCAAATTAAATATTACTGACTAAAATTTCTACATTTTTAAAACGATTTTAAAAAACTATCAAATTAACTAAAGCATAGAAATATAAAAAAATACAATTGCAACAAAACCGAAAAGAACTAATTTATTGTTAGCATTTAATTTCACCTAACATGTCTGAGCCGAACAGCATTACTGAAACTGAATGTTTATGCGACTGTGAGAGCAACTGTGGCCTGTGGCCTCTGTGCACATTTTTTTCCCCTGCTACTATACCTTTTAAATTTATCCTCAAAGTCAGTGGGTGAAAATAAGGTATCCCACTGTAACTGCAGGGTACAGACCGACTGCATGAAGACGAGAATAGCAGAAAGCAAAGATGGGCCGATGGATTGAGGGCAGGGGGTGGGGGGCTGGAGAATGAGATGATATGGCAAGCAATGTTGCTTCAGGGTGATAGAGCAAAGTTTGTTCGTCTGACTCAGCAGCAGCACCCAATTTTGGGAGGTCTACACACATGATCCCATACACATTAAAAATGTATATTTTACAGTTTGTGAATATTACCCAATATTTCCCTGTAATTTATTGCATGTATATATCTATATATATCTATCTATATATATATATATATACAGTGTGTCTCTGTGTATATATATACAGTGTGTCTGTGTGTATATATATACAGTGTGTCTGTATATGTATATATATATATATATATATATATACACACAGTGTGTCTGTGTGTGTGTGATTAATCTCATATATATACATACATAAACTGATGTGGTATTGTCAATAAATATACAACATACTTTTTATAATATAAATATATCAAATATATTTCTCTATTACAACTAAATTTAAGATGTTGAATACAGTATTATATTCTATAACATTTAATTATAAATATTTATAATAAATATTAATATTTATGTTTTACTGAAATTAGAATGGAATTCATGACCCTTCATTAGATTTAATTCTGAGGCTAGTTTGGTTAAGTCATCCTGAAAACTGTCTTTTGTTTACGGGAGAAAGGAAACAACATGATGTTACAGTCCCGTCACATGATCAGCCAGAACAAAACAGCTATCCCCTCAACTGAAAACCATTTGAAATAAGTGGGCTTTTTGGCAACATGTTAGGCCAGCTGGTGAGCACCGCCATCATGTCACAGGGAAAATGGATGTTGTTTACACACACAAGCACACACACACACACTTTGTCCACATTTCTCAAGTACAGTGCCATCCACCTCATCTATTTATTTTATTCTGGCACCTGTTCTGGGAACATCCAAGAGATGATCAGCACCACAGACTTTAAAATAACATATACTCTCGAGTACTCAATCCAGGTTAAAAGTTGAATTATGTAAACCAGAACTGTTTTAGCAGTTTGGAATGAGAATTAGCCTCAAGTGCTGTTCTGGAATTTCATCCTAAAATGATCCACGGAGAGCTAGGAGATCTTGCTCATGGCTAGAGCTGAATGTTAGGCAATGTTTTCTCTGTTTATCAGTTTATCTGATGCAAAATTTCTATATTGTAACATACATGCTGCTATGTTCCTGTTTGCCTGTTCAGTTTGACCTTGTTTCCATATTCCCGCTTATTATTGGTTGTCATAGGTACTGATTTGATTTCCTTGTTATTGATTCCCTTTACCTTTGTGCCATCTTGTTTCCTTTGTTTGCTCTGTATATATTGAAGCCCTCAGTTTGAGTTGGTTCCCTGGTGAAAGTGAAAGTGTTTTTTAGTTCTTCATCTTTATTTATTGGCACCCTTGGTGAAAATGATCAAAGAAGGCTGTGAAAATAAATATGGATTGTTTATCATTTAGATTTTTCTTAAAAAAATCTAATCTTTCATTAAAGTACTACTAATGAATATGTGTGAAGGCAATAATTAAGAATAATCTGCATGGAAGAGGATAAGTGCGTTGTCTTAAAGTGCCCCTTTTAAGGGGGTGGTTTACTGCTTTTTTTCTTTGCATGAGTGTTTTTATGGGGTGTTTTTAACATATATTCATGGTTTTTCTTTTTTTAAAAATCTTAATTTTATAAATAAAATAAATAAATAAATTTCACCTTTATTGTAAGCCGTTTCTCCTCTGTCATTTGAACGACCGGTTGACTTCCTGAGTCTATGAAACCACTCCCTCAGAAACAGGCAGTGGGGTTCAGCTTGGTTACTCTGGGCCGGTGTGTTGTGATTGGCTAAACTGTGTAGTGCACGTTGTCTGGAAAATTCACGGCCATTACCTTTACGGGTGAATGTTTCACATGCTCCGGTCAATGTAAATAATGGTGGATACTGCAGTATCAGTTTGAGCCAGAATCAGACCTAGAAAGCAGCGATAAAGAGAGTCAAGCAGAACCTCACCACACATGGCTCTTACAAAACTTTTCTGAATGGTAATTTGCCTATATATATATATATATATATATATATATTCTATATACCTAATACGCCTTGGAAGCATTTGGACATGCTTCAATATCTGACGCTTTAGGCGCCCTTAGCGTCAGTTAGATGACGCCTAGGATCGCGTGTACTACCCCACCCCACATCTAAACCTAACCGCGTCCTCTAACAGACGCTTTCCTTTAGCGTCAGTTAGATGACGCCATAGGATCGCGTCATGTAAGTGACGCTAAAGGGCGCCTAAAACGTCAAATATTGAAGCATGGTCAAATTTGACGCCTTGGGTGAGAATGCGTTCAGCATATATATATATATATTACTTTATAGGTGTTTATCATTGCAATTTAAGTGAAATCACTGAACTTAAATATACAAGCTTGATAAAAATGATCATTCTAGAAGAAAATTTTAAATGGCACTTAGAGGCTTTTGCATCTGAACTCTTCATATATATATATACTGTATATACATGAAAAATACATTTACAACATTAGTAGGCTACATTTACAAAATTCAGGTCCAAAATGTTTGTACGCGTTTGTCGTTGACACGAAATAGCATAACTAAGTGGCTATAAAACTAAAACATTATGTCTGAAATTATACATGCAAATACATTTAAAATGATTAAGTCTTAGCCTACTCACTGCTGCCCTCTGGTTTTAAAGTTGGAACTGCTTCATGTTTTAGTAACAGTTTCTTGTTGAATCCGGCATTGAATTCGTGGAGATTCTGGACGCTGTCTTCCGTAAATGCGCAGCACAGAGAGCTAAATTATGATTTTAATTTTCAGGAACATAATCAAACATAAATTGTATCCATTATTGACGAACTATAATGTCCGGGAAGCATGAACACAGAAGACCTGACAGCTGGGTGAAAATAACACACTTTTGACAAGCCGCAGAAATATGGCCATGCCCTTTTTTGCATATTATGGAGGGTGGGTTGATGCAAATGTGTGGGTTAGTGACGTCTAAAACCCATTGTATTCCCATTCAAGTTGTTATTGTAGGCATTAAACTTCCTGATTTTTAAAAGACATATCTCAAATAAATGTACATGGCACTGTCTCTGACCTTGAGAAATATCATGGCATTTTTCTTAAAATGTGTCCGTTATAAGTGAAACCTATCTGAATTATTACTTTAGTTACTTAAATAGAGTTAAATAGCATCTCTCTTTATGATGGAACTTTCCACATCTTGGTACAGAACAAAAAGCAGAAAATATGGAAACACAGAGTGTGAGTGTGTGGCAGAATGTTTGTGTGGATGTGAGTGTGCAAGGTCATAAAAGACAGACAGCAATTCAATTACTGTGACCAGAGAGGTTATTCAGCTACAAACCATCACAGTATTCCTGTTTTCTTTTTGTGTTAAAATTACTATTGCATACATTGAATTGTTTGCCATAATTAAAATATAGCAAAAGCAACACATCATGAATGTTTAGGAGCATTTGCATTGTTCCAAGAAAAATTTTTTTTTTCAATAACCCTTTGACCAAATACTCTGACTGAACTTTAGTTCCAATCCGTGTCTTGAAATGTTATATCTTTTGTGTAGAATAATTTGTTCTCTAAAGTGTCCAGATGACTTGTATTGACAAGAGTTTCTCTGTTGAATGGAAGTTGCTGCCTGATGTAGTTTTTACAGAGAGCTGTTCTTGATAGCCTGCTGTTATCACCACAACTGTCTCAAAAGAACAAACACAGAATGTTGGAAGTGCTTTTGATTGCTGGATTTTTCCGATGACGTGGTTTTGTTGAGTAAAGCTTTGAAAGTTTTGAAGGAAATCAATGAATTATAAATGAAATCACAGGGTTTCTTATCCTTGATCTCTCTCTCTCTTTCTCTTCTCTGCATTTTTTGTACATTTCTGTTCTAAGTTTTTCAACATACTGTTTACAATAAACATTCCTGCTTACACACCCATAAAATGATTTGGGCTATTATTATTGAAAATACTATTATATGTGAAACACAAGATCCCAGTCAGATAAAATATGATATGTCATCCACAGAGGGCAGAGTCAGTATAATCTGCATAGTTGCTTCATCTGTAAACTATGACGTTCAAAAGACGTTCTAATTACCTAGAGATCAGAAAGATGTTGTGTTTTTAGGTTTAAAGACTTTTTGATGTTATAAACAGACAAAAAAGTTAACCATGAAAACACAAAAACAAGACGTGTATGTTAGCGCCTCATTAAAACTCACTAGGCAGAGTAATGCAATATAATATGCAAGGATATGAACACCGGATAGCGTAGCAGGAACGGCGACTGAAGGCGGCGAAATCAAGGCCAGCAGCTTCAGTTGAAATGGCTCATCCTGCAGAAGGCTTTCTCGACGGCGCAGCTTCTCACTCTGGATCCAGCGATGCGTGCACTTTGATGAAGAGATGAAAAATCAGTGATATCAGCCCATCGAGCTATATTTATAGGCCTAGGCCATGCCC